TAGGTGAGTTCCTCTAAGTCTTCCTACCAATATGACCGAGTTGCGAAAACAAGGTCAAATAACTTTTAAACAATCGTGGAGCTAAGCAAGTCCTTGCGTCTGTCCATAAAACTGGCTGTTGAAGGTGAAATAAATACTACTCGTGGATAGGTTAAAAAATTGTAGAATAGAGACTATATTCAATTAGAAAGTCGCCTAATACAAGTAGCACTTTTAGTTCTTAAATTATCGGTTAGGTATATGGATGACTACCTTGCCGCTTGCAACAGAGTTAATAAATCCTAGAAGCTTTCCTAACTTTAATTGATAGAATCGAGGGCACGACAAAGTTCACCATGGAATAAGAAGGAAACGGTAGGTTACCTTTTATAGATGTCCCAGTTGGCAGGAGAAAATAAATAGGGTAGAAATATGTATAATAGACCTACAAATGCAGGACAGTGTTTAAGTTCTTTTCAAACCATACTTACGGAGTTGAAGTAAGAGTTATGAGATCCCTGTTAGTAAACCGTCTGTGTCTTGAAGATTTTAATAATCGGGACCAGGGATAAAGGGAAAAAAGGAAAATTTTGGTCAAAAACAATTACCCAATAGCAATAGTTGGCAATTACTTTGAAATATCAGCAAATATGATGGAGATAAGCATCTATTTGGGGCAGGATAGGCAGCTAGGGTCCTGATGTTACCTTCCTGTCAGATCTCGAAAAGCATTAGTGAATTAATGAGGAAGTGAGACATCAAGAAAGCGTATAGGGAAAAAATAACATTCCTCAGTAATGAATTTCCGGGAATTTTCGAATCCTTATGTCTGAACACAAAATGGAGCGGTGTCGATCTAAATATCAGAACTGGCTAAAAACAACTCACACAGGACACAATATAGACAAACACCAAAGTGGACATGGAGTCTATAACAATAGACGGAAGATAAGGGAAGCCATAAAAATCAACAAAATAGCCAACAACATGAATAGAAGGAATGAGTGTAGTAAATTGAGCGGAAACTACTTTTGGCTGTTAGATAGGATAAGAGGAAATAAGAAATATTGCCGATTAAAAGAAATTATTAACCTCAAATATGATTTTTACTTTCACAACCCACGCATTGCACGCCCACAACAGTTTCATTGAAAAGTAATCACGCGCTTCAACATTAAAGAATAAAAAATATAGGTAATTAAGGGAAGGATACAGCTGTTCTGCAACAAATTCATCCATTTCACGCCTCATCTGATGCCACTTCATTTAACGACAAGCATGAAGGAAAACGAGTTCGTAGCTTAGTGCGGAGAATGACAGCACTCACTGGTGATGCCGACTACGATGCCAGCAAAGCTTTTGAGAATGTACCAAGTCCACAATCTGATGCTGTGAATTATGATAACTACTATGGCAGAGGACTTCGGACTAGGTGCGTTCTACTAAATCTCCCACACAACAAGACTAAGTTGCGACGAAGTCAGCCCACTTTTATAAGATATTGTTGGGGCATGAAAGTGTATGAAGAAGAGATTCTAAAGCCGATCTCACCAGAAGACGATGGTTCATTCTCGTTGTGCTGCTGTCGTCTGGCCTCAACACGACGTTCAGGATGACGCAATCCACGAGACATCTTTCCTTGTTTCGTATGAAAAGGGACTGAGCTTTCGTCAATCATAGGATGGACATCATCAGAGCTGGAACTCATTCTTGTAAAAGTCATCAGTTAACACTAGGTAAGGAGGACTGTCCGGCTTTAGCTTACGTCTTAAATCTGCTTGTAGATACGAAGAATAACTGTTTCGATTAACCTCTAAACATAAAATTGTTGGGGATACATTTATTTCGTATGAAAGAACAAGTTCCAGCTTTGATGATGCCTGTCAAATAATAGACCAAAGCTCAGCCAGTTTTCACCCGAAACATGGACTGCGTCAACCTGAAAGTCATAGTAAAGCCAAATAGCAACCATACAACGGGAATCTGCCGTTGTCTACTGGTGAGATCGACCTTCGAATCTCATCTAAATGTCCTTACATACAAAATTAAATCTCCCTAATAAATCATATCTGCTTCTAACTAAGAGCAAAGATGCATAGACTAAGATCAATATATGATGGTTTCGGTAATTCTCTTTTAAATTGTAGAACCTACAAAGTCATGCGTACATTTATATGGTACACATGAATATCAGCATCAGGCCATTGACATGGTACATTCTAAGGGGATTCACCGGCATCGTCGGCGCTAACACACACACATACATAATTAACTTTGATGTATGATTGAAAATAGCATTAGATTAATAAAGAATACCTTTTGAGTGGTAAATACGTAAGGGGAGACAAAGAGACCTTTTCTCATGTTTTGACTTTACCTTCGTGGATTTTCTCTAAAAAAATGGGCGAACTAGAAAGGAAGCGGGGAATAAAAGCGATTTTAAGGGAAATTACGACACTTCATTTATGCCCACTTTTAGAGAGAAAGTTTACCGATTATACAGATACTGCGTTTATATGGTGGCTTTTAAGTCGAGATCACTAGTCGTCCCATTCTACAAAAAATTTCTGAACACAAGATGGAAACCTGAAACTAAATTGAATGGTCTCAAACTCTTCATTTTACTGATTGTGGAATGTCTGCGGCTTAGCGTAAAATTAAAGAAGCCTTTGAAGTGAACCAAATAGACAATGCATCGAATGTAAGGAATATCGACAAGAAGTTAAGTATAAACCACTTGTACTATATTAATAGACTTAAGGATAGAATGTTGAGCCACCTGCAAAAAGAATGTTACTCAGTCTTCTCTTTTCTTGTCTTTCTTATAATGACGGTCATTTTTCTGAACTTTTAGCCCGCATGAAGATAAACGCTCATCAACAT